GTCGACTGGTATTAATACGTAGTATACAGATGCGTTAATACATTGATATATATATATATATATATATTTTGGAACATACGCAGGCATCAAGGAGTTGCAAATTGAATACAAGTAAATTTTCTTTCATAAAGCTGTATTGTTTAAAAAAGGGACATCGCGTTTACGAGTAACTTCAAATTCCGATATTCAACTTTGCACATATTTTCCATTTACATAATTCATCGTGCGGGTCTCCTACTTGCCTCAACTAAATTACATTTCCAAAATGTTTAATTTCGTGATGAATTGCTCTGCGCTTGACGTCCACAGAATCCGGCGCAGATTTTACACGTATAAACATACACGCGCGAATTTCCGCGACAATCCCTCCACCGTTGTAATCTACTTTTCACGCGAATGTTTTTCCGCGAAACTGGCGCGCAATCTCGATGAAGAACCGAGAGACAGGAGGCCCGTTATCCCTGGTCAGGATCGCTTCCGTGCAACGTTAGCCAAATGTCGTTGCTTGCTTATGATTTCCATAATTCCGTACACTTCGTCCGTCGCAGGCTCTAAAGAGCCAATATCGAGCAAAGTAGGTGTGTACTTTAATTACTAGAGATAATTACGTCGTCACCGGCTTCAGTGAGGGATAGAGGTTTACTACGATAACAGAGTATCCAATATCCTGGTGAGTTACGTAGCGAGCACGGCACAGCCCTCGTGCATATGTATTCCGCACGTACGCACCCTTCATGTATGTATTTACTATCGTATGCACGCCAGCACATGCCAGCCGCTCGCGTTTGACCTCCATCCGTTATTAATATAATTATCCTCCCGATTATTGTCTTACGGTTGCTGCATTTAACTGTGAACGTACGATATCCGCACCTGCTTCCCAGCCGCCTTCGTCTGGGAATTAGTGTCTTGGTCATTCGCCTTCGAGTAATCTGTCTTTACGCAGATCCGCGTTGACTGCTTTCCTGAATTTTCCATCAATAATTTTCGTCTCAACGATCGTTCTGTTCAACTTGAGATCGATTAGAAAATCTAAACAAACACTAGATTGCCAGATACTACGTTTCGCGCGCATGGATATTCTTAGAATTAGCCGGTGAAGAAAAGGTATTTAGTGTTATATGTAATACTTTGCTGTCGGGCAATTTTTCGCGCGTCTTACATGTGCACTTTGAATAAATTTATGAAAACACGATAAATTTACAAAAACTCTTTCTATATCGTTAAATAACTACTGCAGTAATGAAGCAACTTCAACAGTAAGCTAATTGCACAGTGAAGTGCCTTGAAGCATTTTCCTTCTGTTTGAACTTGATTTCGAAAACAAAAACACG